GGAGTTCCTGTAGGAGCCACGATGCCTCGCTGTGACTCCACCCGGTGAAAACTTCATAACTTCTGAGGAGGTTTGTTCTGTGGAACTAGTTCTCACGACTTCTAAAGAGTCGCAGCCGCCCTGAGGAGACGCTGAAAGGTAGCGTGCCAGTAGACCTCTTGACTGCCGCGGATTCATCCTCTGCAAGGTAAAGAGTCGTTGAGCTTCACTACCAGTGTACCGCGGGTGAACTGCGCTTCAAGGGAGTGTGTCGTTCTGGTCTACAGACCTACATCTTCATCCATCTTTTCCTCTCCATTCAAACTCCTTCATTTTCCCATCTTTAAAACTCTTCTATCTGCCAGTAATTAGATATCCAGATATTTTCAGAAATGTCTGTTGTAATTAGTTGCAAGTGAGATATCATGGCCGTATGATTTCTCATTGTAAAGCTCATTAATTAAGCTGTGTTAATTGTAATCAATCAGAATAATCAAGTGTACAATGTTTGAAGTTAAATTTTGATTCTGTTAATAAATGACCACATTCATTTTGATGGGTCAAAGAAAATTAACGTCTCACGTCACTGATTAGACCATCTCCGACACAGTACTTCTAAGCACAAGATCACTCAGTCCAGAAAAATGAAAGAATCCGTTTAAATTAAGTATAATATCATGTACTTGAACTAGTCCAGATATTATAAAATGTAAGAGAGCACCCCTGAGCTGAAACCATCTCTCTGCTCTCTCACTACAAGAGCACTATCTCTTCTGCCATCATCTGCTGGGGTACCAGCACCAGAGCAAGTGACTTAAAAAAGATCAACAAGCTCATAAAGAAGGCAGGATCAGTTCTGGGGACTCCTCTAGAACCTTTGGAGATGATTGTACAAAGAAGGATTCTTCATAAAATGAAGAACATTATAGACAACCCTCAGCATCCTCTTCATCAGACTGTCATACAACAACAGAGTGTCTTCAGTCAGAGGCTTCTTCAGATCCATTGTAGGACAGACCGCTACAAGAGATCCTTCCTGCCCACAGCCTTCAGCATCTATAACAACTCTTTAATGAAACCAGAATGATGAGTTACAACAGCATTTAATTTCCCTCTGGGATTAATAAAGTATTTTTGAATTGAATTGAATTGAATTCCCCCAGGAGCTCCAGAAAAAAAAAAAAACTGTATATATTATCCACTGCAAATAATAAACACTGTCACTTTTGTACTTACCCGAGTCTGTCTCGTTCCGGGTCTCATACAACTCTGGGTTCGCTGAGTCTTAACAGAAATGCTCCAGCCAAATAAGACCCAGAATGAGACCAGGAGCGAGCAGGCCCTTGCTACCTCTCAGGTGGAACGAATCAACAAATTGGAAGAGATGCTGTAGCAGGTTCTGACCCATCAACGCTCTGCTCAGTCCAACCTGCAGGAACTCGGAGGTATGATCTTTTCTATTAAACAACAACTTCTACCTCCCTCTCCTCCAGTGTCTCCCATCCAATCGATCCCCAGTACCACCCGTGAATCTCCTGGTCCGGCTTCCTCTGCTCAGCAGTTAAACATAAAGCCTTCTGAGATCTTTGCAGGAGATTCTGATCAATTTGGAGGTTTTCTACTCCAGTGCAGGCTCGCATTTGAAGGGGCTCCATCTCTTTACGCCACCGATGCAGCTAAGATCACGTATTTCATTAGCCAGCTCAAAGGTAATACCCTCCGTTGGACCAATTCCTTTCTACAGTTCCACGATAGTTCCTCTGTTCCCTACGAACGACTTTTAAAGGAGTTTTATAGAATTTTTGATTGCCCTCTGCAGGCACCAAATGCCGTAAAGCGACAGCTAAGCCTACGTCAGGGTCGATGCACTGTTTCTGCATATGCTTTGGAGTTCCGGGTCCTCGCTGTTCAGACCGGCTGGAACGAACTAGTACCTAGGTACCTTCCTAAACTCTTTGATCACTTCAAGGACCAAATTACTGCTCGAGATGAACGTGAAGGATTTGACCAACTAATCGACCTGGCTATCACCATTGATGACCGCTTCTGGGAGAGAAGAAGAGAGCGGGACTACAATTCCCAAAGGCCTTCCATTTCCAGGTTCGCAACCTCACCAGTTGAGCTACATTCCTACAACCAGATCAAAAATAACTACAAGTATGGATGACTTACTACCGACAATGTGAACCAAACTCTCACACTGCTTGTATAGGGACTGAACAGCCCATAACAACGGGCCTCCAATCCCATACTCACGGAGCACCCCCCCCCCCCCCACAGTGTACCTCAAGGAACACAGTCAAATGCCTTCTCCAAGTCCACAAAACACATGTAGACTGGGTGGGCAAAATCCCATGACCCCTCAAGGACCCTAGTGAGGGTAAAGAGCTGATCCAGTGTTTCACAGCCAGGACAGAACCCACATTATCCTCCTGGATCTGAGGTTCGACCAATGATCTGACTCGCTTCTCCAATACCCCTGAATAGACCTTACCAGGCAGGCTAAGGAGAGGGATTCCCTTATAATTGGAGCACACCCTCCACTCCCCTTTTTGAAGATGGGAACCACCACCCCAGTCTGTCAGTCCAGTGGCACTGCCCCCGATGTCCACGCAACGTTGCAAAGGTGTGTCAGCCAAGATAGCTCCACAACATCCAGAGCCTTAAGGAAATCGGAGTGAATCTCATCTACTCCGGGAGCCCTGGTGCCTCTGAGCTTTTTAACTGCCTCGGTGACCTCAGCCATGGTTATGGACGGATCAACCACAAAGTCCCCCGACTCAGCTTCCTCCAGCTGACGTGCTGGTGGGATTGAGAAGGTCCGAGAAGTATTCCTTCCACCTCCTGACGGCATCACTGGTTGAAGTCAACAGCACCACACCTTCCCCGAACACAGTGTTAGTAAAGTACCGCTGTTCTCTCCTCAGCCATCTGATGGTTTGCCAGAATCTCCTCGGAGCCGACCAAGTGCCTCTATCCAAGGTCTCACCAAACTCCTCCCACATCCAATTTTTTGCCTCAGTAACAGCCAAGGCTGCATACCGCTTGGCCCTCCAGTACTCCTCAGCTGACTCCAGAGTCCCACTGGCCAACAAGGCCCGATAGGACTCCTTCTTCAGCTTGACAGCCTCCCTAACCCGGGGTGTCCACCACCGAGTTCGTGGATGACAACCGCGAGAAGCACCGACAACCTTGCGACCACAGCTCAAGGCAGCTACCTAAACAAGCGAGGTGCAGAACATGGCCCACTCAAACTCAATGTCCCCCTCTTCAGCTGGGATGTGGTTAAAGCTCTCCCGGAGGTGTGAGTTGAAGATCTCTCTGACGGGTCCTTTTGCCAGGCATTCCCAGCAAACCCTCACTACATGTTTGGGTCTACAGGGTCTGTTCGGCATCTTCTCCCACCATCCGATCCAACTCACTACCAGGTGGTGATCAGTTGACAGCTCAGCTCCTCTCTTTACCCGAGTGTCCAAAACAAACGGCCGCAAATCATATGACACGACTATGGCCTGTACATTTACATTAAGTAAATCTACTTACTCACTTTTATTGTCCTCAGCGATCCTGTCTCCTCGGTCCTGGTTCCCTTGGTCCTGTCCTGGTTCTCCTCGTGTCTAGTCCTGGTTCTCCTCGTGCCTAGTCTTGGTTCTCCTCAGACCTGGTCCTGATTCTCCTCGTGCCTTGCCTGCCTCCAGTTGGCTGCCTCCCTTGTCCTGTTGGACCCTTGGCCTTGTCTCCCTCTGAAGCTCTTTCATGGATTTGGAGTTGGACACAAAGACATCTTCGAACCTGTAGGAGAGAAAACATCATCACATTAACATTGGCTGTTATCCTGCCAGCCTCCTCTGACAAACTCCTTCCTCTTCCAGGAGCTGCAGAGAAACTACTGTCTATTATCCATGGTAAATAATAAACACTGTTACTTTTGTACCCACCTGTGTCTGTCTCGTTCCGGGTCTCATACAACTCTGGGTTCCCCAAGTCATAACAGATCCCAGATCAGTTGATGTACCTCAATAAACTGTTCGAGGTTTTATAAAGCTCAACTTTTCTGACAATATATTGTGTAAACTGGCTTGGTGACAGGGGCAGCACGGTGGCGTAACTGGTAGAGCTGCTGCCTCTCAGCGAGAAGGTCACTGGTTCAAGTCCTGGTCTAGAGGCCTTTCTGGGTGGAGTTTGCATGTTCTCTCCGTGCATGCGTGGGTTTTCTCCGGGTACTCAGGTTTCTTCCCACAGACCAAAAACATGCATGTTAGACTGATTGGTAACTAAACTGTCTCCAGGTGTGAGTGAGAGAATGAATGGTTGTTTGTCTCGTTTGTCTCATTTGTCTTTATGTATGTCCATGTGATAGACTGGAGACCTGTCTGGGGTGTACACAGCCCCTAGCACAGTGATTGCTGGACATGGGCACCGGCCACCCTCGTGACCCAAAATGGAAGAAGCGGGTAAAAGATGATGGATGGACGGATGGATGGATGGATGGTTTGGTGTCACATTCTGTTAACCTTGATTTTATCTCCTCACTGTAGAAAGTTCAGAAAACATGAAGGTTTCAATAATGATCTCACACTGTTTCAGTTTCAGATAAGCAAATGCTTAGAAGAAGAGTGAGGTGAACCATCCTGTAAGGTGAGAACTGTGTGGGCAAAGCTGCACAACTCGTTCATCTGGTGGCAGGAGTATATCTGCTGTGCAGAGCAGCATCAGAGCAGTTCTTCTGCAGACGGTGGCGATGGAGCAGCTGATGTTTACACTCACAGTCCTGCTCTTTGTGCCTCTGAGCCATGCCGACTACACACAGTTTTGTCACGGTAACCCCTGTCCGGTATACACAGTGGATGAAAGTAACGAGGTAGGTGTGACAGCAGTCTCAGTGTTTGTTTGTTTGTTTGTTTGTTTGTTTGTCACGTGAAACTTCTGACTCCTGCTGTTTGCAGAACTATGAGAAGCGCAGTTATGTTGCCACAGCGTGGGCCAGTACCTCAGTGGATGGAGAAGACGCTACATATCTTGTGACTGCCATTAACAAGCTGACTGATTTCTGGAAAAAACAGGAGCAAGCAGGTAAATGAGGAGGTTTCGTTTCACTGAAACAGTCTGATATCCATCATGGTGAAATGAACTAAACATATGAAGCTAAAACAGGAAAACGTTCAGTTTGTTACAATTTATTTAGACTTGGTTTTGCTGTGTGTTAGAAACAGGTTCAGAATATTCATCGTGAGACTGTGGAATCTGTTTTCACATTTTTTCTTTTAATTTCATTTTGTCACCATTTTCTTAACTGAACTGCTGCTCTGCTGTGACAGCTAGTCTGTACCAATCTTTTATCTCGGGTCTCTGTACAAAAAAATTCACATACATTATAAAAGACGATTAGTAAAAGTTCACTAAGGAAGCAGCAGATTGTTTTGAATCCACTTAGTCACAGTTTCCCATCCTGAGCAAACACAAAGGAGACAGTGGAAAAGAAAAACTCCCTTTTAACAGGAAGAAACCTCAAGTAGAATCAGGCTCAGGACGAGCGGCCATCTGCGTCAACCAGCTGGGTTTGAGAAGACAGGAAGTAGAAACAGACAAACACAGAATGACAGGTCCAGGTGTACTTTCTATAGGAGTTCAAAAAACGTTCAATACAAAAAAAAAATTCTATAGGAGGAAAAACAAAGAAACACGTTAAGATTAGGGGTTGAACGACTACAAATTTTTAAAGTTGACTTTAACATGATAAAAGTCGACGTCGACATCAACTAGTCGATGATGTCGTAGGAACTCAAGATGCTATATCATATTTGCAAACATTTTTTTAAATAAACGTCATTTATTATTTACATTAAAAAGAACAACAAAACATTGGGCATATATTTATGCTCCAACCATTTATCAAACTGCAAATAAGTCACAGGAAAACCAAAACAGTTATTAAGCTGCAAAAGTGAAAGAAACATGCGGCACGTAAAAAACAAGGCTGAGAACAGTGGGGTGGGCAGTGATGGAGTCCACCACCGCCCGCCCCGCTGTTTTTAGCCTTATTTTATTTAATCCACCACCGTGGACTGGGTGGAATAGAACTGAGGGCAGTGGGGTGGGCGGTGGTGGAGCACCTTATTATAACATTATAGTTATTATAGTTAATAATGGTCCTCGGCCGTGCGTGTCCGCTGACACAGCAGCTGGTGCTTCAGGTGGGTCACTGGCAGTCATCCATCTGGACTTTTTATGTCTTTTAACCGTCCGGTCAGCGTGGTTGGAGATCCACTTTGGATCGTTGGCCGCGCGTGTCCACTGGCACAATCAAAAGCCCGACACCAACCCACTCGCCCACCCATCCAGCACATTATTTTAGCTCGGGCTGGGCGTGGCCGTGTTAGAAATGACATCTCTACTGCCCTGCTGTTTTTAGTTTTATTTTATTTTATCCACCACGTGGATTAGGTGGAATAGGGCTGGGAACAGGGGGTGACTGTGACTAGTCGACACAAAATATAATAACTCACGAGATGCCCTAGAATCGACTAGATGACTAGTCAATTCAACCTCTAGTTAAGATAGAAATTATTACAAATACAAACTTAAGTTCTTTTACCAAAATGGATCCTGTTTCTCCCTCAAATCTATACAACATTGGTATCATCACCCGTCTTACCTTTGCTCGTTTATGGTGATGTTTTATACAGGAATGCCTCGACTCAATGTCTTCAGTGATTGAACACAGTTTATCATGAAGCTGTTGTAGCAGCTGCAGGCGCCTCACACATCGCTGTGAGCTGCAGATCGTCCTCTGAGAGGACAAACACACACTCGCTGGATGTCTTTGATTTAGGACACTCTGCTTGGCCAGGCTCAGTTTTACTTGGGTTCACTCTTACAAAGATTCAACAGTTGCTACGCACTCCGCTCAGCATTTTCCTTTGCTTGTATTAAAAGAGAAATAAGCGTTCGGCATCGCTCCTTCAACAGCATGAAAGCAGTCTGAATTGAACAACTAATTACTTTAAAATTATTTAAGACATTTCTTAACAGTTAGCAATATGAATCCATTCATCACTGTTAGTGTTTTTAAATTGTTACATTTTATTAGTTTTGTCTTGTATGATTGTTTGTTCAAATGTGGGTAAATAAATGTCTGAAAATACTAATCAAATCTGAAACATCCTCCTTTTATGGGGTGGATGTGGCTGAGTGGTTAGAGCAGTTGTCCTCCAATGCAAGAGTTGGGGATTCGATTCCATCAGCAGTCACATGCTGAGTGTTCTTGGGCAAGACACTGAACCCCTCATTGCCTCCGATGTGTGTCCCATCGGTGTATGAATGTGATAAAGCTCTGACTATTCTTTGTAGAGATCTAGTAGAGTGCTGTATGAATGTGTAAATGAGGCACAGATTGTGTTGTAAAGAGCTTTAAGTATCTTGATAAGATAGAAAGGCACTGTACAAGTACAGTCCATTTACCATTTATAAATAGTGGTCTCTCTGAAGATGGCTTCACGCCTTTTTCAAACCAATCTTTGTCCAGAATATGAACCTTTCAGTCCTAAAGTGTCCTTGAGATGTTGGTGAGTAGCTGAGCCTCGGTCTGAAGAGCTCTGCTTGTTGTGTCATGCAACTGTGGAAAGGTTGTTCCAGTTCACCTTTGTAAAGGTGTGAACGTTCTTTGCGCACCATGTTTGGGTGCTTTGTTCTTAGGGTGGACAGGTTTCTGTTTCGTTTGGTTTGAAATCTACCCAGACATCTCAACTCTGGACCAGCTGAACAAAGACCAACAACCAGGACACAAGGAGAGGAGGTTATGAAGATTTGTGAGTTCATCTAAAAAAAAATAACTCAGTACAGTTTAAAAGCCTTCACTTCCACACTCAAAATAAAAAAATAAAAAACTTTAAACACAGCCAGCTTTCCCTGACTGGTGACAGGAAATGTACATGCCTGACAATAATTTATCTCTCTGCCCTCAGACTTCATATATTGATCAAGTAACACAGAAACAAAAACAGACTTCAAGAAGTTTGTATATTTCACACTATTCCTATTTAATACTGTTTCACTTGACTATGTTTAACTCATGTTGACCATAAATTTAATTAGTTTTATTCTTTTGACAAAAATGCATTTTAGTTTTAGCTCAAATTTAATTTACAGTCATTTTTGTTTTAGTAAATATATTTTGGTTGACTAAATCTACTTCAAAAAAGTTCAGTCAACTAAAATAGGTGTAATGGGTATTAGTTTCCTAATATTTAACATCATTATTATCAACATTTATAAAAATATAATGTAATACGCAGAGACAGATTTAACATTTATATCAAACACAAACATGATCTTATTCATCTCGCCTTTTTCCAAAGAGAGAAAAATAAAATTATAATGAAATAATGATGTGCAACGACAACTGCATTTCTAACATCCTTCTATCAGTATACCCACTGTCCCTCTGTCCCTCCTCTGGACATGCCCAAACCATCAGTCTGGCCTCTCTAACTTTATCACCCAGTTGTTCAACCTGTGCTGTATCTCTGATGTTCTCATTCCTAATCTTATCCATCTTTGTCACTACTAAGGAGAACCTCAACAACTTCAATTCTCCCACTTCCAGTTCTTTCTCCTGTCTTTTTGTCCATGTCTCCAGACCATACAATATAGCTGGTCTTACCGTCTTGTAAACTTTTACTTTGACCTTTGCTGACACCTTCTGGTCGTAAATCACTCCTGAAACTTTTCTCCATTTACTCCATCCTGCATGGATGCTCTTTTTCTCCTCTTTACCACTCTCCCCATTTTCCTGGACAGTGGACCCCAAGTACTTGAAGTCCTGCGTCTTTGTGACCTCTGCTCCTTGTAGCCTCACTGTTCCACCAGCCTCCCTCTCATTCACACACATCTACTCTGTGTTACTACGACTGACTTTCATTCATCTTCTTTCAAGTGCATACCTCCACCTCTCAAAGTTCTCTTCCACCTGTTCCCTGTTCTCACCACATATCATGTCATCTGCAAACATCATAGTCTACGTGGATTCCTGCCTGACCTCATCTGTTAGTTGGTCCATTACCAGAGCAAACAAGAAGGGGCTCAGAGCTGATCCTTGATTCATCCCCACCTTTACCTTGAAGTTATCTGTCACTCCTACAGCACATCTCATCACTGTCCTGATGTCCTCATACATGTCATGTACCAGTCTAACATACTTTTCTGCCACTCCAGATTTCCTCATGTAACACCACATCTCCTTCCTCGGCACCCTGTCAAATGCTTTTTCTAAATCCACAAAGAGACGATGGAGTTCTGTCTGACCCTCTCTGTACTTCTCTACCAGCATCCTCAAAGTAAATATGGCATCTATGGTGCTCTTTCTTGGCATGAAACCATACTGCTGCTCACAAATAGTCACCTCTCATCTAAGTCTAGCTTCCACAACTCTCTCCCAGATCTTCATTGTATGACTCCTCAACTTAATTCCCCTGTAGTTGCTACAACTCTGTACATCACCCTTGTTCTTAAAAATGGGCACCAGCACACTTCTCCAATCCTCAGGCATTGTATCATCCTCGAATATGGCATTGAATATTTGAGTCAAAAGCCTCACTACCATCTCTCCAAGACATTTTCAAACCTCCACTGGTATGTCATCAGCTCCTACTGCCTCCCCCTTCTTCATTCTTTTGAGAGATTTCTGGACTTCAGCCTCATTAATCTTTCCCACTTCCTGGTCCACAGTTTCTATGACCTCTACTCTTCTCTTTTGTTCTCTTCATTCATTAGCTTCTCAAAGTTCTCCTCAAAGGATCAAGTGGCAAAAGACCTAAATAACCAGGAGCATTTTTCTTTATTCCAGGTCAAAAGATGCCTGACTCCTGGCCTGCACTGATCACCCTGAGAAAGGTTGGAGGTTCTGATCTTATATCCTTGTCCTGGTTTCTCCCTCCTGGTTTGGACGTAAAGGTCTTAGATATGTCTGTCACAATAGAGCACAAAGACGCTTCCACAGTCTATGTCAGGTAAGACATGACCTCATTTACATTTTAACACACTGTTATCTTGTTACAACCTAAATCTGTAATAAAAGTAGCCCACGTTGCCTCTAAGTAGATATTTTAGGTCAGAATGTGTGTAGAGATATAAGATCGTAACATTATAAACTTTAACGTGACAGTTTTTGACTTCAACAGACATCAAGTTAACCATTTCTTTGTCTCTGTTTTTAGGTTTTTTGATGGAGTCCCAACTCTCAGTGCTGGTCAGCAAAATGCAGAAATTCTTAAAGAGGTCTTGACTAAAACAGGGATAACTTTTGATCCTCAAACTTTCTCTGCAGCCTTCTATGAGTCGTATTTCGCTGTGACTCACCACAATGAAATATGGCTTTATGGTGCATAAATAATAAAGTTTGTTATTCTCTGACCGCTGAGGTGATGTAGCTAAATCACAGATACCATCTCAGTCTGTAGCATTTCTGTCACAATAATCCCATGGCAGGCCGCACAAATCACTGCAAAGATGTTTCTGTGGTATGAAGGAAACCGGTTCCGGTACTATTTTGGTATTTACCTCCATTGTTTCATTACCGTCAGCTGAGTCCTTCCTCTGCTAGAACGTCATTCTTCTAACATCTACCCATCTACTTGTTTTCTGTACCTGCAGTTTTCTGTTGTAACGTATCAGCTGCAGTTCAGTCAAATATATTAAACCATCAAAGCCTGAAAATGTAACTGCTTTACTTTTTGTCTGGCTTTATCAAATGTGCTTATTTCTTGTACAAATAAAATATTATTTCCTGCTTCATCTGCACAGGATAAGTTATCTGAAACTCTCCAAACACAAAGAACAATTTACTGGTTTGACCTGTTCCTGCTAGATATTCAACCACTTTCTTTGTTTGAGTTAATTAAAGATCAAATGTGGGCAATCGTCTGTGTGTGTGCGTGCATTTTTAACTGTTGCTTTGTTATCAAAATAGTTCATAAACCTCTGGATCAACATTAATAAAATGTACATCTACAACTGTAACATTTTAAGTCCAGTCAGTTCTGAGCCCCACAGCTAATTGACTTTAAACCAAACAATAACTCCTTTTACAGATCCTGAGCTGAAACAGGTGAGTCAACTCCAACACAACACTTTCATTTTCTACATCATCTTTATTACTGGCAGGAAAGGCTGCAGGCAAAATGTACTCAAAGAGTGTTTACTTTATTATATGTTTTTAGCTTTTTAGTCAAATATTAAGAAAGTACACTGTTGGAGAAATGTCCTCTATTCATCTTATTTACTGAAAGAAGCCACACTTGAGGACGCAAGAAGATATTTTAACTGGTTTTTACTTGCAAGTGCAGACTTTCACTTACAGGTTTACATAGATGCATTAAAGCTCTACATCATTGGAGCCTGGTCATGAGAGTCTGCACCAGGCAGTGTGTGAGAATTGTTTTTATAGTAAGCTTATCAGCTATCACAGCTTACAGTCAATGATGACCTCAGCTGCACATGCAGGCTCCTCTCTGAGAAGGAAGAACAACTCTCTGGTAACTAAAACATATAGTTCAACATTACGTTAACATTAGTTAGTGATAAACATTCATAAATCTTGACCAAAAATCCCCTGACATACACACTTCATTATTCTTGAGATAAATCATAACTGTAAAAACACTGAAAAGGGGAGTTTAAAAAAATAAGTGAGCACATGATAAACTTTCTTCTGTTTATGCTCAAAACTGTGTGGTGAAAGCTAAGAATGTATAGCTCAACAGATCTAGACTCCACTTTCTAGTACCCTCCAGTTATAATAATAACTACTGCTACGTCCAACAGTAAGTTAAACACATTAAAACATAATAATACAGTTCTTCAGCTTTTGACAAACACAAAAAAATAAGTAATAAGGCAAAAGGAAATTTAAAACGTGCATCTAAATCAAATTCAAATCAAGAATTCACACATTTGGAATGAGTGTAAGCCAGTTCATTTACAGGGTTTCCCTTCAATTCATGATGCCATTATTAGGATGGTGCCCTCTGGTGGCTGGTTCCTGCCCTTGCACTCCCTGGTGTCCCATTCTAATTATTAGTCCTTATCTGGGTCACCTGCACGTTCTGTCCAGGTGTTTGTGGTTATCTTTTGTTAGTCTCTGTATACAATTTAGCGATATGGGGTATAAATATATGTTGATTATCAGTTATAAGTTAAGCTTATAAAATATGCATGTATTATGCAAATAACCTCGTTTTTTGGCACCACCTCTCTCTTATGCCTCTTTTCTATAGTACTAGTACCCGTACAGCATGACTCGACTCGACCCAGCCCGGTTCCAAGGCTTTTCCATTAGTAATGGTACCTAAAACTGGCCCCTTTTTTCAGAACCCTTGGCTCTGTGGTTCCAATCTGGCCAAGCAGGTACCAAAACGTGACGTCAGAACATTGTCGGTCACTGATTGGTCAGGGGGTAGAGTCATTGGATCTTTCAGAAACTTTTCAAAACACCGATCTGCCATTTGCAATTTCTCGGAACTCAAAGCATGGCTGGACCTACTTAGTATTTCAAAGATTTTTAAAACAATAAAGACAACACCGTGGTCCAATGCCGACTTGGGGCTTGGGCTCCCGGCCTTGTGTACTATTCAAGCTCCGAGCTCCACTGGTCACCGCGGAGGATCATACGAACTGGTGACTCACAGAAGGCCGTTGCCCGGACCCCAGCCTTGCGTGTTCATGAAGACCTAACCCCTATCCCGGCAGACGGGTCTGGCGCACTGAGGATGGAAATTATTTTTAAATCCATTTTTATGTAATGTAGGATTGGGCCATATCATATCGTTCATGATTTGGAGCAGCTATGACTGAGTGGTTAGAGCAGTCGTCCTCCAATGCAAGAGTTGGGGGTTCGACTCCACCAGCAGTCACATATCGAAGTGTCTCAGGGCAAGACACTGAACCCCTCGATGCCTTCGATGTGTGTCCCATCGGTGTATGAATGTGATCTAAAGCACTGATTAGTCTCTTTAGAATGATTTGTTTATCTTTGTAGCAATCTAATAGAATTCTGTATGAATGGGTAAATGAGGCACAGATTGTAGTGTAAAGCGCTTTGAGTATCTTGATAAGAAGGAAAGGCGCTATATAAATACAGTCCATATATTGATTAAAAAAAGCTTGCCCAAGAAAATACATTATATCATGATATGCTAATTTTATGACGTAAATATGTCGGTGTTTCCCCTAACATTATACAAGCGGGGCGCCCCGCCCCATTAACAGAACCGAGCACACCAAACTACCGAACCGAACTGTGCACCCGCCACCCACCTGTTGGTACTGGCATAACGCTAATTAGCTGCGCGCAATACTAACTAGCTGAAATGCTAAAAACAAATAATGCGCGGCTCAGCTGTGTCTCTCCACCCACCTCTAATCTAAACTGTGGGTAAAGACAGTAACAGCTCAAATGTCTTCAACCCATTTCAGGATGAAATCAGAGGAAGAACTGCTGGGACCAACTTCCTATTTGAAAAAAGCATCCCTTTGGTTTTGTCAGCATTTAGAACAAGTTTGAGGTGGAACAAATCTGTCTGGATGATGTCAAGTTGCAGATTTCAAAAACTGGAAAGCCTTTTCAACTGTTTTAGCTCGACAATAAAAAAACTGTGTCATCAGCAAAAAAATGTATGGATACATCAGGGATGTTTTTACCTACATTACGTATGTAGATTGTAAAGAGAGTGGGTCCTAAGACTGAGCCTTGTGGTACACCATTGTTGACTGTTAAATAACTGGAGGAAGTACCATTATGTTGAACACATTGCCTCCAGTCTGAGAGATGTCCTCCTCTGTGGTCCACACTGCGCTCAACCACCTGGAGCAGAAAAACTCTTACGTCCGTATGCTCTTTGTGGACTTCACATCCGCCTTCAACACCATGATCCCCCAAACCCTGATGGACAAACTATCCACACTAGGACTAAGCCCCTCCATCTGCAACTGGGTACTAGACTTTTTAACAAACAGACCACAGTTAGTGAGGATCCACAACCTCTCCTCCTCCACCATAACCCTCAGCACTGGCTCTCCTCAGGGATGTGTGTTGAGCCCCCTTCTGTTTACTCTGCTCACATATGATTGTGCAGCTACCCATCCAGGCTGTCACATTGTAAAGTTTGCAGATGATACAGCGGTGGTGGGATGCATCACAAACAATGATGAGTCCAGCTACAGGCAAGAGGTGGAACACCTGGAGAGCTGGTGCAGAGAGAATAACCTTCACATCAATGTGAAGAAGACAAAGGAGATGATTGTGGACTTCAGAAGGAACAAAAACACCTACACCCCCCTGAACATAAGAGGATCTGCGGTGGAAGTGGTCTCCAGCTACAAGTACTTGGGTGTACACATGAATGACAACCTCAGCTGGAGCAACAACACCACCAGCCTGATCAAGAAAGTTCATCAGAGACTCTACTTCCTCAGACGGCTGAGGCGAGCTGGTCTGGGAAGCTCAGTCCTCACCTCCTTCTACAGGTGTGCAGTGGAGAGCATCCTGTGCTCGAGCATCAATGTGTGGCATGGAGGCTGCACAGCTGCAGAAAGAAAAGCTTTGCAGAGAGTGGTGAAGGCTGCACAGAAATCTGTTGGAATCAGCCTCCCCACCATCACAGACATCTACACCTCCATGTAGATGAACAGATGCTGGGATATATTCATCATTTAACGCGGGTTCCTCATTTTTCTGGACTGAATAAAACGTGCATTGAATTTAAGGAAATGCAAACGTGAGACGTCATTTAGATTTGACCCATCAAAATGAATGCGGTCATTTATTTACAGAATCAAATTTAACATCAAACATGTACATTAATTTGGCAAATTATGAAAATAACAACAAAGCAATCAATCAGGAAAAATCATACGGCCATGATTTTTCCGTTGCTGCACCACAGACATTTATAAAACTGTACAACTATGATCTTTTACCCACACGGATGTGAATAAGCACTTTACACAGACATTTCTAAATATCTGGGAGAATTTCTACTTGATAGAAAGTTAAAGATGAAAGAAGTTAAAGGGAGTAAGATTGAATGGGAAGGGAGGAATGTTCACCAGAACCGACACTCTCCATCAGAAGCCCAGCTCTCCTTCGGTACGCTTGGTAGGAAACTTGATCCATTACCTTTCTGAAGATTTATCAGCAGATATGGAATTCCGTTAACGCTACCTGTCCAGCGTCTCCTGATAGTGGCTGTAGCTCGTCAGAAGTAGTGGCTAGTGAAAGTTATAATCCCATGGAACTCGG